CCCAATCAACTGCACTTGATCTTTAGGTGACTTTTGATTGCCATCGACTGATCCTTTTGTTACTTCTGATTGGCTCACCATATTACTTTTAATGCCAGACCTCACTGAACCAACAAATATGTTGTAATTTATTTAAATACAAACTAGATGTTGTTATTTGATTTCTATTATCTGTCCCACAACTTTATTATTACCTAGATACTTGAAATTACTCAAGAAACGTTCTGTTAGTGTTGTGCGTTTTGAGCTAATAAAAGCAAAGCTTTTATTGTAACTCAGGACAGCACTATCATATACTTCATCATAGTTACTAATGATTATTTACAAAACCTCATCAAAGTACTATTCGTTTGATATTGAAATGCACTAAAGATTTTCTATAAATTGAAATGGACTAAACTGTGATATTTCTAGTAACTTTTTATATAAAATTTACTATAACTGTGGTGTGTGCTACTTATACTGACGTAAGTAATATATGACATTACTTGTGAACAGAAGGTCTGTCAGCAAAGAGACAAAAGGATCGAACAGTAAAGACTGGGAACAGGATGCAATTTGTATGAAAATGCAAGAACAATGAAGTCTGAGTCATTATGAGACAATTGATAGTCATTTCTCAAATTAAGAAGTATTTACTATTTGATTGTTAGATTTTATTAACAATTCTTTTAATTTTGAGTCAAATACATTCGATTGTCCCCATCCGTATTCTGTTCACTACATAACCACTATAGTGTATCAATATAATCTAACTTCCTTTACATTGGTGTTCAAAGAACCAATTCCTAATTACACAACGTTAGAAAAACTAATCACTAGACTGAAATTGATTCTTATTAATTTCTTTTCTTTTTTTTTATTACTATTACTAACCTTTTATTAATTCTATGCTAACATAATACTTTTTAAATTTAAATTTTGTTTAAACTAACAGAGTGGTGAATGTACAATAGAAAATTTAAATGAATTATCCTCTCTTGGATTTACTGTTAGTCCAACAAAGGTAAGTATTTTATTACTTTAACAGTAAAATAATTAACAATAATTAATTAATTAACACTCTTGAATAGTTTTATTTATATATTCTGAATAAAATCTAGTTTTACATGAAAATTATTTTTGGTCATAAAGGTCAATTTAGTATTGATCATAAATTATTATTATTCTCCTAAAAAGTGGCTTACACTAAGTCACGAAATGTCAGAAAATCTAATTTTTCTACTCATTGGGATGCAACAAATATATTATTTATTTATTTTAAGTCAAGTATTTATGAGTCAGTTGAAGCTAGACCACCATTGAAAACCTGGAAGCACTGGACGGCCGTTTCGTCCTGGTATGGGACTCCTCAGCAGTGCGCATCCACGATCCCGCACCACGCGGGGCTCGAACCCAGAACCTACTGGCTTCGCGCGCGAGCAATTAACCACCAGACCACTAGCTTTGACTGACTCATGATTTCAACTTGTGAAATTTCTTAAACTCTCCACAAAACCCATTCTGATCAAGTATTTATACTTGATTGATACTATTTCAATAATCAATTTATTAATCTACTATGATATTTTTTTAATGATTATTTACAGTATTTTTTCTTGATAAGATCTAGATACTATATCAATGAAATTAAAATATTTCAGCATCTATTCCATAACTACAGTGTTCCATATATATAATTTAATGAATAGTAGATTATTATTTTGTTACATGTTGAGTATTGCTATGTCTTCTTGTGCGAAGTAGTAACCAGTGGAGTTCAGCTAGGTCTATTGTGAGATAGTAACTCATCGAAGACGATGATGGATATGTCGCTCAATTTCGTGGATTAGTTGAAGTTAGATATTAACACCAATGGACGCTAGCCCAGTGGTCTAGAGGCTGAACTTTCGTGGATGCGCACTGCTGAGGAGTCGTACATTAGGACGAAATGGTCGTCCAGTGCTTCCAGGTTTTCGATAGTGATCTGACTTCAAATGACTCATAATCTCGATTATTGAAATTCTAAGAATTTCTTAAAAGGTTTTAAATAATCATTCACTTTGACTTTATTTTTTTTATTTTCTAAAATATTTCTTATACAGCTGATTTTAGAACCAGGAACTGAACAACCGATTATATTCACTTGGACTCCTAATCCAGATGTGAGAGTACGTTTACGATAGCTATGACTGTTATGTATTATGACTGTTTTGGACATTGACTAAATTTATGCTTCCATATAATTTCTTTATCCAGATTATACGTTTTTTTAGAGTAAACAGTATCCGTTTCGTGATGAAATGTTTATAGCATTATACATGGATTAAATGCGAGGTTAAAAATTTTCATATTATATATCATGCTGGATACTGTTTGATTTAACTGATGAAGAGCTATCTTTATGAAGTTAAAACGTGTTGCACTGTTTGCCTATAACATCAAAAATTATCAACTGTCAAAGCCAGTTACTCATTAGAGAATGGATTATTCTTGATCAAATAACAGATTGAATATTTGAGTTATGTTATTATAGAAATGTACTTTTTAATGAGAGATTAATTTGTTACATTTAGCTATAATTTTCCCTCTTTCACCGATTTTAATCTGTAAGCTAGGAATACAAATCTAACATACACTACTTGATAGTTTTGATTATAGTATGCAAATGGAAATTATGAAGTACTTTGACCTCTGTTAATGTTTTGAAACAATGAAAATACTCAGTAGATAAATAACTGAATATTATGATTCAATTTTTTTTAACTTTTAACTTCCCATTTGATTCAGTTTATGAAAATTGTTTTTTCATAATAATGACTATTCCAAAGTAGAATAGCCAACACAATAGTATGATTTATTAAAATAAACAAGCTTAAAACAGTACAGATATGATAAATGAAAAGTGGAGTCTTTTGTTGATTCTAGATTCTTTGTAATACGATGGGAACCCATTTAAGAAAATCAGTTGTTTTGCCGAAATATTTTAAAGGTACTCATAACATACTATCAGATTTCATTAACAAATAAGTTAACAGGTATTTCCATAATGTTTAAAAATGACAAGCAATGTGTATAAGTGTTTACATGGACACCCATTCGTGTTAAGATACAATTTAGTTCTTAGACCTGAAAGCTATTTCCATGAACTTCACTAAACGTTATTACATCGTCCATATGAAATACACTATTTAACATTAGGCACTCGTCTTGTGCATATAGAATGAATGTATCATTACATAAATACTTAGTTGAATACATAGTATAGATATCATCCACTCGGTAAAAAGTACCCACTTCTTTACATTAACAAGCGTCGTACCTCTAAAAAAATATTTAGCACCCCTTTTTTCAAGTTCTCATTGTTTTACTCATTAACATTTCTCTCCTGTTTTCGGGTTGTTTAGACTGGATCGAATGTGAAGTCAATTGCTATAATCCAGCTTCGATCTGATGTGACTATAAATCATCAAGTCTTGTTGAGAGGTGTTTTGTGAAATCATCTACAATTACTGAATATTGTCAACCATTTTAACTAATAAGTATACTTTTCATACTCTTATAACTTTTTAAAAATCTTTTTATTTCAACTACAACATATTGAGATAGAGCAAGAATATGTTATTGATTAAATTTTGATTTCTTTTTATTTTCTTATAAAGTAATTTCATTAAATCCTCACCACAAGATTTGCTCTAAATCAAAATTCCCAATCGTAAGTTAACAAAACTGTAGTTTTGTGGGTAATCGTACACCTAATAATTCAAAAAGTTAAAATAACCATTTCTAACCATCTACGAACGTTTTCTAATGGGACCAAAGCTTTGGATTCCTGTAACTTTTAGCATCCATTGATTTTAACAAAGACACCACATAGTGTAGATGATAAGAAGTTGATGTTGATGTAATTAATCCCATGGTAGGAAATTCTAAATAGTGTCTTTAATTATGAGGGCCCTTGAAAATCTTTAAAAGTTCAGTATCAAAAGTAACGGGAAGCTTTCTGTGATTGAAAATTCATAGTCATTAGAGATATACGACATAGAAGTGTCAGTTCTAATATTATGAATACTAAAGAATTCTCTATATTTTATCAAACATAAATCATTTATTTCAATTTGATACAATCTGTATTACGAAATGATAGTTGTAAAGAACAAAGGACAAATTTTTCGTCTTAGTTTTAGGCTCCTTGACACCATACACCCACAATGTACAGAAAATTGATTTTGCAACACCTAGGTCACGTTGAACTTGAGTAACAATCAGGATCTGTTTTAGTACACAGTAACAAATGCTAAATTTATCAACATGAAGTTTTAAAAAAATTAGTACTTTTGTGAGTACTGATTTTGAATAATTTTTTTCTTTGAATTCATAGTAATTAACTTAAAAGTGTAAAGTAGTCTAACAATCTTTAAGAAAATTTCTTTAAACATTTTTGTAGAATATTATCATGATAATTTATATAAGAAATCCATATGGATTATAACAAATGAAATGAGAGTTAAGAATAATGCAAAGTATATATATTTGAGATATTTATTCAAACAATAAATGAAGCATAGGTTCACTAGTTGTAACATATATTATGTAACTATGAATCTAGAATTATATAGCCTGATAACGAAGTCATTGAGTGAATTATTCACAAAAAGACTCTTTCGTTTTTGAATATATGATAAGCATTAAATTTAAATTTGATTGGATTCATTTTATTGTATTTTGAAAACATAATGTAATAAGATTAAATCACTTGGAATGATTTTTAAAAAAATCATAGAATCATCATTATAAATAAACGTTACTTACTCTGAAAGGTTTCAATGAATGTTTGTTTATTCAAGTATTTTTTCGCATGCTTTTAAACAATTTCTACCGTGGAAATTCAAATTCATTCAATCAAATGTAAATAAAATTATTGTTTTTTTGAGGGGGGGGGTGAGGTGTTTTTTGGTTCGTTAACAATAATAAGTTTCAATGTATTGTTTAAATTATACTATTTTATTATATAAATAAGTTTATGGTATTCTGCGATCATTCTCATGATACCATTCAGAAGAAGTTTGAATACGTTTCTCTAAATCATGTTCTGTTGAATGTAATCCATTTGTAATTTCAGATTCTACATTATTAATTTTTGTTAATTTTTCGTTACACTGTTTAGTAGTATTTTGACAACAATGATTAAAAGGATTATCATTTGTAGATATGTGTTCTTTTTCACTAGCTAAAATCAATTTCTTCTTGAGATTTAATATATAACATATGAGACCTAGGAGAATAGCTCTTATTGACACTAAAATTGCCATACTAATAAAAAATCCACCATATCCAAATCCATCAATAATTGCACCAGAGAATAATGGTGCTAATAGCATACCAATACCAGCAATCATTTTTGTCATAGGAAATGCAATTGATCCATGAACCATCATTATCTCTTCTGAAGTAGCATATAGAAATGTATTGCCTACACCAACAGTAGCACCAGTAAATCCAGCCAGTACATAAACAACATTTAAATCTTCATATGTATTTTGCATAATAACCAAAAATAGAGCTGCAAATAGTGCTCCAATAAAGTAGGCGACTGCTAAATAACCTCGTATACGATCACCAATTAAAGCTCCAAGTGTAAATACGACTGATTCTCCTATACCAAAGTATAAATTAACTCGGGCACCCAATACCAGTTGATCATTTAATGCCTGACTTACATAAGCTGTCATATTCATTAGTAAACCATATATTACGAGATTATGAAGTAAGCGTTCAAATCCCCAGACGAACACTTGAGGATTATTTTTCAAATGTTCAACTGAGCAAAAAGCCCATCCACGTCCATCACTGGCTTTCGGAGAATTACGCAGTAATAAGGAATCCTTTCGTAAGGCTTTGTTCATAGTATTTTCTTCAAAAGTATCAGAAAGCTCCAGCATAGCTTGGTTATATTCAAATATATCACGCGAAATAAAAACAATCCCGGCTAAAGATGTCACGAGTAAGAAGAGTAATCCACTTAGTTGAAATGCCACTTGCCAACCGTAGCTTTGTATTAAGTTTGAATACAATGGACCAAATATTAGTACACCATAAGGTCCACCGGAAACAAATGCAGTTGCTAAAACATGAAATCGATGAGATCTGTCAAAATACTCTTCTGTTACAAGACTTGTCCCACATAAAATAAGCGTAGATCCAAGGCCATGTATTAGTGTATGAGTCAGGAATAGATACCCTGGACTAGGCACCACTGCTGATGTCATACAACTTATAAAAATTAATAAACCGGCTAGAAGCATGGTACATCTATATGGCCGATTCCATCGAATTATTGCTGTTGTAGCAAAGGGCATTAGAAAGAATCCAACTGCAGCATAACTGTCACCGACCCAATTCAATTCCGTCATGCTCGTGTCATTATAAGCTTTATGTAGAGCAGCAACGAATATTCCGAATGCCCTTCTTTTTCCCCCTATGCAAACAACATTCAGTGCAGCAACCAACAAAACCAACCATCCTAAATGACGCCATCCATACAGTTTTATACGGGCTCGTGAAAACTTCACATAAATTGTGTGAAATATGCTTCGAGTTAATTGAGATGTTGCTTCTTCTTTTGTCATAGCAAATGTTATAAATCTTCACAACGTATTTTAGTTGTATCACTTTCTTTCTCTCTTGATCTTTGTTTTGTACTCCTGATATTTTTCTTTATAAACTTTATATGTCATTATAGTGGTACGTGTCTGTCTTATTTATTCCACCCCTCTATCTTGTTATTATTCTGTCTAACCCTACTAGTGATTCCAACTAAAATGTTTTACCAATTTCAGTCACTCATTATATGCTTGAGAAATAAAGTTTAGAATAGAAGAAAACAAAAGTTTTCCTATAGTTTACATAACTTCGATATCAAATATATCTAAATGATCATACAGATAAATGCTCAGATTAATATATTTACAATACGAAACAGTTCGATTAGTTCAATTTTTAAAATCAAAATTTTAATGACAGGAAGCACAAGATATTTAATGGAATAAGATTAAATTAATGTATTGTTATTGCGCTGATTAAAAAGTGATTTGGCTCTGGAAGAACATGAGAAGTTGCTATGAATAACTGAATACATTCGTCTCTGTTGGAAATGTTGATTATTTTTACTGAACCACTTAGTTCATGTTGATAATATTGTGTTATTACTAGATATTTCTGTTTCGTTGGAAATTACTGAACATTATACTTTGGCTCACTGTAGAACCTGTTTTGGGATGTTCTCATCATGAAACAACAAGTCAGTCCGAGTTAAGTTGGTTGACAAAAAGAATGAACTTAAAGATTTCCTTCCTATTGCACTTCTAATACACCCTTATTACGCGGTTCTGAAGTTAATAATGTCAGTAAATGTAGCAGTATTGGTTGTACTAGGTCTCGGCAAAATAGCTCACATAGTGCAGTAAACCATACTACAAATAGTAGTAAGTATAATTAGAATAAAAACACTTGAAGATTAAATGTCCATATAGAACTAAAATCATAAAAGATCCGTCATAGCAAGGGCAAAGTTAAGCCAGCATTGTTCCCGATGGTTGTAGGGAGTGACTTAATCTGCGAACGAGAACAAGACTCAGTGACTAAAGACCAGTAATCTAGCTATTGATGCGTTCCAGTCCCGCTATCTAGAAGACCAAGCTTGGTATGGAAAATATATTCTGCAAACAGCCAGAAAACGAGCGAGCCCACAAACACACTTAAAACATATATATATTCCATGAAGCTTTTAAACATTCAATTGATCAGTTCGTCAAATGATTGCCATTGATATATTTAAACATTTCATCCATAAGTTAATCAATCGACTATGAGTGTGGGTGGTAAGAAATGCCCACGCATACATCTGCATACCATCTTCACAAAGATAAAATTACAAACTATGAGTTTTCGGGATATATCGTCCCTGTCACTTATTCGATTACTAATTCTGTTTTTATATGGTGGTATTTAGTGCATTTCTTATCTTACGCACTATATGTCCGTAACTTACTTTGTTCGACTATAAATATCGATTCACACTTGGCTAAAGTGAGTTGACTCACTTGACTTCACTGAGCGTCATTTAGCTTTGCTCCCTTCTCTTAGCTTTCATTGCTTCGTTTCTTCGACCGTTTGTCTGGATAAACGATTGTACGAAATATAAATATTAAAACATTTGTAGCGGTAAATTAGTCCCCCAAATAAATAGCTCTGTAAGTTTTCGACATTGGATGCTGATCACATTAGTTTTAATGGACTCACCTAGCTGAAGGCGCTCGGTCATGTATCCGCACCAGATCACAAGTAGGAACTCTGTGCTCAACAACCCCTGCAATCGCTAGCCAGATTAGATCAGACGATTCTCGATATATTGATAGCCTATCAAATATATTTTACGTACGTCAAGTTTGTTCAAGACGTCAGAAGTTCCATAACTGTGCCCTCAGACCAAGATCCTGAAGAGCAAAAAAGAGACAGAAAAGAGCAGCCAAGAACTTGGATATGAACAGCAAACGTTGCTTAACATTGTATAGGAGGACAGACAGAGGTATAATCAATTAGATTAAATTCGTATTAGAGTGAAATGAAGTCACAGGCTCCATATTAGAGAATGTAGTAATAAAAAAGAATGAGTTGTTATGTTTAACAAGTTGGAGTAAGCTCACGTGAAGGAAGGAAAGTCAAGGTCGGTACAAAGGAAGCGGTTTATCAGAAGGGAGTGCGCATATAGAGGGTGAAGTGTTAAGAATACTAATGAATATATCTTTTATCATCTAACTTCTTTCTTTTCATTTTTTGTACTTCCGATGTCAGCCACACAATCCTAGTGTAAAAGTCCGAGTTAGCATGTTATAGGTTGTCTTAGTAGAATAGCTAATTCCCCAAAAAATTGGGAACATGAGTACGAGTGATGAGCGTAGGAAGACAATTTATATCACATATTGATCGACTTATTCTCAATCATAAAGAGCCTGATACATACAAAATATTCTGCTCCACAAACACGCGTGGATTTAAGTCATCGCCCTCACCATCAATGCTTGCTGGTTAGTAACTCCACCCTCCTTCCTTTTGTGATTTTAGGCTCATTTAAGCTTATTTTTGGATATATGTCATACCTCAAACAGTCATCTGTGTTTCGCATCCTTTTGGAAAACACTATTTCTATAAGTACCACTTTACAAGCTTATCAGACTGTTACAAGTTATGGACTGTGGGTAAGGCATCGATGCAGTGCTTTAATTGACTATAGTGTAAAGTGTAGTTTGCCAATTAGAGTATAAGCACTGAGAAGGGTATAATGTAGGATAGTTGTTTATTAAAGCAGGCGGAAAAGTACACAAGTATATGAGTTGTAGATAAGGTAAAGAGTGGGGAAATAATATTAATTGCTAGTCGACATAGTGTACAGAAGAGTAAAAAGCTAATAAAAAATAAACAGGAAGAAACTCACATTAACTTGGTGCTGATGTTAATTTGTGTTATCCTAACCAGTTGATTGGTAACAGGTTCCATAGTTGCAAGACCGCTGCTAGTAAACAATGGTTTGTGCTGTTCTCTTGACTTTTTAGGGTGGTAGTGAGTGTCCCCTAGCGACCGAGTTTAGTTGAACAGTATCGATAGGTCCAGTGAGTTACCTGTCTACTTCAAGTGACGAAATAGGGTGGAAAATGTAACTAATACAACTGCAAAGTAAAAAAAATAAGGCAAACTGAACTTGAGGTCCATTTTGGTCTAGACATGGAGAGAGCCTATGATGTCTGAGTGGAGCGCAAATGTGTGCAAGTGCAAGCTTGATCAAACAGTTTTACAAACGTATGTGATTCACCAGACATGCGTATTTCGGAGGGAAGACTGTTCCATATTATTGCATACTTGATGAGGAAGAAGTTTTCCCGAGTTTTTGATCTGTATTTCTCAACTTTGATGGTAGATACTTTGTTTCGAAGTTTGTATTCATGTGAATCTCGGGCAAAAACTATCTTACAGGTTTAATAAGTAAGGTTTTTCAGTAGTTTGAAGTAGAGAATCAAATTAGACTTAAGCCTTCTCTTCCAGAGGGGTGCTATTCCTAAGATTTGGCATCGGGAACTGCGGTCAATGACTGAGTCAGTTTTAATTATTTTGCGGTTGAAGTTTCGTTGTATTCCTTCCACCTTTAGTATATCAAATATGCTTGTCTCAGAAATTAAACCATGCATGTCTAAGTAAATATTGTGGTTCGTGCTACTTATGTCGGAATAAGTAGTATATAACACTGATGAAAAATGGAATGTTCGGTAGTAGAAGGTTGGGAAGAACGGAAAGAGAGAGTAATTGTTATGGCAATGAAAGAACGATGAAGTTTGAGACAGTTGATAGAGAATTCGCAAATGAAGTATTGAACGTATGGTTTTAAAATTTAACCAGAGAACTCTGTAATTTTGTAATAAAATACATAGGTTGTCCCTACCTGTATTCCCGTTCACAACAGTACATTAAAATGGTGTAACCATGGATGGTTCATCAAATCAGTCATAGTTCCTTAGATCACAAACTGCACATGGAAAGCTGTAATAATTTTAGAGCTAATACATTCTTTCATTCTCTGGCCCACAAGAGGACGGACTCATTTATTAGAACAAAAAAGCAACCAGCATGTATCTTTACCCTTCGTTTTTCAGATGCAACACTGCAAGAACCGCAACCCATTGTAACAAATAACGCAAGTTAGCTATAAAAATGTTTATCCCAAAAACAGAGTTTACTTGTAGTGGTTGAAAAATTTACAAAATAGATAGTTCTGTTGACCTCGTTTATTTTACAGAACACAATACGTCAAGCACAACCAGCCCCATTTCTCTATGTTGAGCTTTAACCTCCAGCGCTTGCACCAGTTTTCTACCATATTTAATTCATGTTGGATTTTTTGCATAGTACTACGTACATCGCAAATGTCAGTTTTATAGATGAGTTTCAAGTTATCGGCATAGAGGTAGGTCTTACTTGTGCCCAAGCATTTGAATATATTGTTGATGTAGATTATAAAGAGCAATGGGCCCAAGACAATACCCTGCACAACACCACTGGTTATTGGTCGAAATTTCGATGTTGTAGAGTTAATCTTGGTTATTTGGTATCTGTCCGTAAGAAAAGACTTGGTCCATTGCAGAAGTGGATTTTTAATTCTGGCTGACTTAAGTATGTTGATTAGAAGATTATGAGGTACTTTATCAAAGACTTTCTTAATATCAAAATATAGTATAACCACTAGTTTCTTCTGATCACCTATGCGAGTAACCTCGTTAAAGAAGTTTATCAGTCATGTACTCCACGACTTTGTTCTAATGGAGCCGTGTTGTGACGGGTCTATTAGATCTTCCTTAAGTAGGTGATCGGATAGTTGATTTTGTATCACTTTTTCCATTATGCGTGATATAACCTGAGTGATATTTATGGGTTTGTAGTTTTCGACCAGGTTTCTTGGTCCGGATTTGTGTTTGGGAAAAACATGCGTTACCTTCCAGGTTTCCGGATATATACCTGTCTCTAAAGATAATGGGTATATTTTGAGTAATAGCGTCTGTATGTCCGGTCCTGACATTTTATA